GTGCTGCTCAGTACTCCTGCTTGCGGTTGCAGAGCTGCTGAGGACGGCGGACGCCGAGGTCCCCGTGGCACTGGAACCCAGTGCTCCCTTCGAGGAGGCTCCGAGCCCCATGGTCCCGACGGCTCCTGTGCTGCAGTGGGGTGAGAAGAAGTCGGAGTGCGTTGTCTGCATGGAGCAGGAGGTGAGACCTTGGCACATGCCTGGTGCTGGAGCAGGGGGCGGGGTGAGGGCAGCACCCAGCACCCATCCCCCAGTGTCTATGTCTCCAGCCTGGCCCTGGGCAATGCCTGGAAGCCCTTTCCTCCAGCTCCCGAGGCGCAGGGGGGAGGGAGGGAGGGCTTGGGAAGGAGCTTGCTGAGCTCCTGCACCGGTCTGTCTGCGGAGCAGCCGTGGGAAGTGCTGTGGGACTGCTGGGCTCAGCCCTGACTCGCGTCCTTCCCTCGGGCTCATTGCTCCGTGCGCTGGGACAGCCCAGACCCTCATGCACACAGCGCTGGGACAGCCCAGACCCTCATGCACACAGCGCTGGGACAGCCCAGACCCTCATGCACACAGCGCTGGGCTGTGCCCAGGGATGGGGACTGGGGCGTGGGGCTCTGCCCCCCGCGCTGTGACACCCCCGGGCGATCCCCAGCTCCTCCAGCCCCGTTTCCTCCTGTGCTGGGATGCAGTGGTGCTGGGATGGTGTTACAGGACAGCACCACTCTCCGGGTCCTCTCCTCTGCCTCTTCCCCCCAGGCCCAGACGATTTTCCTGCCCTGTGGCCACGTCTGCTGCTGCCAGAGCTGCTGCGAGCGGCGGGCACGCTTGTCCCTGTGCCGCAAGGACATCGCGCAGCGCGTCCGCATCTTCCACAGCGGCCAAGGAGGGGGGGGGCTGCCCGGCGCCGTCTCCGTCACCCCTTCCCAGGGCGATGGGGCTCTCCTACTCCGTGTCACAGTTACAGACACTCGCAGAGCATGACCAGTGCTGCCCTCCCCGTGCACGGCCCCGGGCTGGCTGCCGGCTGCACCCTGGAGTCTCAGCATCCTCCACGTTCCCTGATGGCTCCTCAGCCTCCGCCTCGGGTTCCCTCTTCATCTGTGTCCCCTCCTGCCTGCCTGCCCACCGTCCTCTTGCCCGGGAGCACTGGGTGATGGAACTGGGTGCACTTTGGCCCCCTCCTCTCTGGCTGATCTATATTTGCCTTCAGAAATGCCCCTCGCTCAGCAGGGACACAGTTCGTGCCATCTCTGAAGCCACCGTGACCTTGCAGCCCTGCTGCTGTGGCCGGGGCACTGCCGTGCCCCTGTGTCGCGCGCTGCTGCCCGGAGGTGGGTGACTCTCCCGGGGGAGGATGCAGGTGATGCCCACCACAGCCCTGCCCCCAGAAGGCAGCTGGTTGCTGCTGGGCCTTGGGTGTTGCTGCCTTTTTCCTTCTGGAGGGGGAGGACAGTTGAAAGCCAGGGGCTGCAGAGCGGTGGCAGAGCCGCCACGTGCCCGGCTGTCCCACTGCCACCTCCTCCTCTCCCACATCCATCCAGGATAGGCTGGAAAGCTGGGCAGAGAGGAAACTGATGAGGTTCAACAAGGGCAAGTGCAGGGTCCTGCACCTGGGGAGGAACAACCTCATGCACCAGTACAGGCTTGGGGTGGACCTGCTGGAGAGCAGCTCTGCGGAGAGGGACCTGGGTGTCCTGGTGGACGACAGGTTAACCATGAGCCAGCAGTGTGCCCTGGCTGCCAAGAAAGCCAATGGGATCCTGGGGTGCATCAAGAAGAGTGTGGCCAGCAGGACGAGGGAGGTTCTCCTTCCCCTCTACACTACCCTGGTGAGGCCTCATCTGGAGTACTGTGTCCAGTTCTGGGCTCCCCAGTTCAAGAAAGATGAAGAGCTACTGGAGAGAGTCCAGCGGAGGGCTACAAGGATGGTGAGGGGACTGGAACATCTCCACTACGAGGAGAGGCTGAGGGA